TGAATTTATATTACTTCGAACATCTACATAATTTACTTTATTAGTAAAATATGATTGAAGATACATATTTAAAAAAATGGTATAATATAAAGAACTGACAATACTTATTGATTCGSAGTTAAAATACAAGACACTAGCAAGCAAAAACCAAGTCCTTATCCTTATGTAGTATATTATATTATGCTATACATATAATAATAAAATTCATTATAATAATCAATTTTTGGCGCGCAATATAATGATAATAAATTATCATACATAATTATTTTGATATTATTATCATTCTTATTTTAATTGTTTGGAAAAATAGCGGGCAATTTAAATTCGGCCAATCAGGTTGTGAAACAATGTATAGAATGGTAATATGCCACCGGGTCGATACTCCATTACAYATTTTCTATTGCCTACAACACATCAGAGTGAGAATGTGAGATACACTAATGTCCATACAAAGTGGCGAAACAAACCTAAAAATGACACCGTCTATCAACTAACAATTTATTATAAATATAAGTACTTTTTTTTTTTGGTAGTGACTCGTGGCGCTAAGTGGTACTTTGCGCTTGCGGGTAGTCCTTCCTTTCTSTCTCTAAAAAAAAAAGATCAGTATTATTACTATTAGTCTACTATAATTATTATTTAGTAACTAAATGTCTTTTACTATCACCCAACACTATTAACAGTATCAAAAAAAAATCGAGAAGCAACTGCTTCCAAGTTCGAAAACTATGTTAATTTCACAGTCCACACGTATTMAAAGAGTACAGATGTGTCATCTGAGATGTAAAAAAAAATTGTGAAAATAYCAGTGGCTCTCTACCGTAATTAACCATAAAGTACAGAACTAGAGAAGATCTAGTATCTTTAAATAGCCGCGCGAAGAGCACTAATAAACGGTATAGGTTGAGAACCAATGGGCCATGGCTATCGTTATGGTACTCAGATATTATAAGTTCGTGGTCAGGGGCCATGTTTGATGGTGGTAGAAATTTATGGTATCACTGAACTCATATTTACTTAGATAAGATTACAATTTTTATATATATTTTTAGTGATAGTGACTACCGATGGTAGATTTATGAAAAATCGTTATTTTTTGTGTGAAGRCTGAAGAGCAGGTGAACCGTTGAAATCTAACTTTTTATTTTATAATAATAATATATCGCGATGCCTCAGGGACGTCGAAAACTGCCCTTCAGTGGCAAACAAAAGAAACAACAGATACAAGAAAAAAGGAAAAGAAAACAACTTAACGCAGCGTCTGGTAGGAAACATTTAGAATATGTAATCATTAGATTACATTTATGTTATTCTACAAGGTTGTATTTTTATATTTTTAAATAGGATCTGAATTTGGCTACGAAAGAGCTGAAGGAAATAATGTCCGACCTCCCAAAGAACATCCGCCRGAGTTCAACGTGCAGAGTATCAATCAACAACCATTACATCGTGGCGGTAAATCTAATCCTAACCAGTGTGTATAAATAGACATTTTTTAAATTATTTATTTATATTTTATTGTGCCATTCACTGTTGATACCTACCTAAAAATCAGTCTTTAATTGATATTATTATGGTGCTATAAAAAGAGTTTGTCCCAGGAAAACTAATTAAATGGCCTTGAAATTTGTTTCGCCCTGAATAGATTCAGTAATTTTTGTAAGGTATATATTATACAAGCTTGTTTTAAAATTGTATACAACTTGTGGCCCTCCAATTATTAAGTACTGAACAACCAAAAAAAAAATCTCTATTTGCATTTTATAAAATCAGAATATAAAATATTTAAAAAAAGTTCAATTTCAGAAATGCACAGTGTAAATATACCAGCTGGTGTTGCTAGCTCCTGGATGGTAGATGTCTCCGATATTTTAATGAGTCACAGATAACTTAATAAAATATTACAATTTTACTATACTCAATACTCACTTTAAAATGTTAATGGGTATCATTAAAACATGACCAGATCCTAATTAATATTTTTATCTTTAAATTAGATAATATGTAAACTTATTCTAATTTTAGAGCTAATAACAACATTGGTTGAATTCAATGACTTTAAAACAACATTTGTTCATAACTAAATTTATCTTAGTATCTTCACAATTTTGAATAAGTTTTATAAATTTTATTTAGGTATGTACTACAATTTCGCAAAGAAACTGAAGAAGAAATAAAGAAAAGAAAAGAARATGCAAGAAAGCAGATATTTCCARTATTGGAAGAAGGACTTGAGTTTGACCCCGCTCCTTATTTTTGTGGCAATGAGCTTGGTTTTCCAACACGACCTAAATGGAGTCCAGATATGACAAGAGAGCAGCTGGATAGTCGTGAATATGGTTATTTCAAGGAGTATTTAATGACACTGAAAAAAAGAAGTGATTGGGATGAGTTAAGTTATTTTGAGCTGAACTTGGAAACTTGGCGACAGATGTGGCGTGTTATGGAAATGTCAGACATTATTGTATGGATTGCTGATGCTCGTTATCCAGTGAGCTATCAATATTACCATTCGTTAATTTATTATCTATTTATTATAAAGCTTTGTAATTTAAGTGCAATTTTCTTTTAGGCTGTCCCTACATATTTGTTCACATACGTATTAAAGATTTTAAAAAAGAGTTTGATCATAATTCTGAATAAAATGGATTTGGTGCCATCAGCTATTGGTTTGGCTTGGAAACATAATATAACAGAAACATATAATTTAGATGATGATGACAAAGCTAAAGTGCATGTGTTGTTTTTTACTTCTTATAAAAACAGTTCTGAATTTAAAGAAGGTGTGTAACGACAATAATAATTAAAACGTTATGAAAGATCAGTTTTTTTATACAATTTTAATAAAATATACTATGTATGTTACAGGCGTTCAGAAAAAAAAACCCAGAGGTAAATTAAAGATGGCTGCAGAAGCTGCAGAAAGTTTGTTGAAAGAATGTAAATCTATTATAGAAAAATATCAAGCAAAGAGTATGTTTTTTTCAAATGTTACTAAATTAAACACTATAAATATGTGTTCTTAATGCTTTCATATGTATTTATAATTTATGTATTGTAGTTGATTTACAGAGTTGGGAAAATAAAATTTCTGAAGAAAAAGAATTGGAATATGATGATGAAGAAGATGTTGAAATAGAAGAAAAAATTACTGTGAGTTATATTTTGTAGGCAAATAATATTATTAATTTGGAAAAAAATGATTAAATATTTCATAAAATTCTTATTTTCTAGGCTGTCCCAGAAACAAGTTATGAACATTTTGATTTGTTTCAAAACAATTATCTTACAATTGGTTTGCTGGGTCAACCTAATGCTGGAAAATCATCGGTTTTGAATGCATTGATGGGCAAAAAAGTAATTACTTTTTACATTACAATGTAGTTAGTTTTAACATTTTTCATATTGTAATACTTACCTATTATTTCATTATTTTATTTTTCAAGGTTGTTAGTGTTTCTGGAACTCCTGGCCATACAAAGCATTTTCAGACAATATTTTTAACTCCCAGTGTCCGTTTGTGTGACTGCCCTGGACTGGTGTTCCCATCTAAACTCCCTAAACCATTACAAGTATTAAATAATAATAATACTTAATATAACTTAAGGTTTCATGTATTAAGTTTCTTTAGGTTTTAATGGGATGTTATCCCATTGCACAACTTCGTGAACCATATTCGACTATTACATTTTTAGCTGAAAGATTAAATCTGATAAAACTTTTAAACCTACAACATCCAGAGTCTGGAGAAAATGAATGGTCTACAATAGACATTTGTGACAGTATGTTATTTTAATGTGCTAAAAAATATATTAAATTGCTTTTATGTATGGATTGTTTTTTAATGATGATTCAGGTTGGGCAATTAAACGAGGTTTTATTACCGCTAGAGCAGGACGACCAGATACATATCGAGCTGCTAATCATTTACTACGTATGACACTTAGTGGGAAAATTTGCTTAGCATTGAGACCTCCTGGATTCACATTAAACAAAAGTATGAAACATCAATTTTTTTTTTTTTAGAATATTTTTGACTAGTTGTAAATTGTATGCAAATTTACATAATTAGTTGGACTTACAGTACTAAGTAATAACTATAAACATGTGTAAAAACATAAAAATCAGGACTCTTCATTGCATTCTAGAACTATGCTTAGTGGTTGATTTGTGTGCAAGGACATKTCACTAATTATATGTACTGATGCATTGACAAGTTGACTTGGTAGAATAAATGGGTGTTGTTTAAATTCTGCCACTAAGTATGGTTAATTGGAATAGAAAAATATTTTTTACTGTTTCAAAATATTTCAAAATATCTATACTCATTATTTTTATATTCTTTAGAATGTTGGTCGTCTTCTGCAGAACTAAAAAATATATGGAAAATTAAAGGCATTGTGGATGAGCTGGATACATATAAACACAGTTGTATAGAACTATCGGATGATGAGCAAAAACCAACTCTAACTGCTCCCAGTGACACTAGTGAAATTGAGGATGATRACAGTAATGAAGATGTATCTTGTGATAGCGATAGCTCAGAAGTATGTGGAGCAATTGCATCTAATAAGTTTGCTGCCTTGGATGTGTCTGATTGATACCAGTTTTACAGTTTTGTCTATATAAAGATAATATTATGTTAATCTGTATTTTTATGAATATTAGCACTTTTTTTTCAATTATAACCGGTTGTAAATTTAAGTGATTCTATTTCATAATAATAAAATAAAATGTTTAATAAAATTAAATAATTTTAAACGTTTGTTGATTATACCCATGCAACTATTTCTTTATTTTATACTAATTAGTCTAGTAATATAATTTCACTCACTCAGCTCTATTTTGATTTTTTTGTTTAAACTAAAATTCAAACATTAGATTGACCAATCATTAAGGTGTTATAAATTAAGTGGTGATAAAAATGTACTATATATGTATAATGTTTTCTTTCCACGCATAATTTAAGATTATATTCACTGATTGACTCTAATTACAAAAAATAATATTACTTTTCAAGTATAAAACCATTTAATTAATTACTAAAGAACAAAGTCATATTTTGTTTGTCAGAATAGTTGTGCAGTTCAAAATATATGTTGACACAATATGAAATTGAACATTTATAATGGAGGACTGTACAATTTGTGGAATTTTTGATATAGATTAAGTATGTTTTTACATATTTACCTTTGTTTTAATCTCCCACTACTTATTATTTGAATGTAATGTCACAATTTGCAAGGTGAAAAYTATTTAAATATTTTAAAAATATAGATACATTTTATAAGATTTATTTTGAATACATAGGGTCATATAAACTGCATAAAATAAAATTWTGGAAATTTTAAATATTTTAGTTAATATTTAAAACCTACAAAATATCTACTTATTTACTACTTAATCTTTAGATTTTTTTTCTTTTTTATGTTTCTTGTGTTTCTTATGTCTCTTTTTTCGCTCTACTGCCTCGTCATCAGAAGACTCGCTGTCAGACGTACTGTGCTTGCGTTTCTTTGATTTCTTCTTCTTCTTTTTCTTTTTTTTGGATGCCGCCTCTTTTAATTTCAATGCTAACTCAGTCTCGCGCAGCTGTACCAGTGGTGTCACATACTCCTCATCCGGTTCACTGCTTGTGCTGCTCACGTCTAACACAATATCTTTGTTGGGATCGATTTTTATGAAATTCCGACATTGAAACGTTAAGTGACCGGAATAACCGCATTTTTTACACGCCGGTCTGGCAGTGGTCTCTTTGGCAAATCCCGAAAACTTGGACTCCATATTAGCTACTGACTAGCTTGCTGTAGACAGCGTTATTTATTATTGTTATTAGTTATTWTAATAGGTAACTATTGGTGTACTACATACAGTAKCCTGACGAAACGGATCCATCAACGGCGGATGGTCGAACGGTACGTGGCCATTAWTCCGGTAAAAAAATCAAGTACGTTTTAGTGACGAAAGAGACAAATTACTTCTGAACGCATAACAGCAACAGTTATATTTTAAAACTTTTAATATAAAATAWCGGTAATTTTTTAACGTCCATCTATGGTGTTAAACAACTTCCGTCGAAACTCGAAATTTGTCACTTTAAAATTGTATAGTTGTTTACAGTCGATAGGGTACACATTATTTACTTTACAGTTGTTATATTGTCAACAATATTATCATTGTTTATTCTGTTCGGTCTTATCACGCGTAAACAATCCCCCAACCACATCCGGTCCGGATCGGACAGCGGACAGAATTAAAATATTATTGCCGTGTCGCATAAAAAATTGATTTAATAATTTAAKTGACCAATTTCGTTAAGGACCATCACCTTACAAGTTACCACTAATATTGAATCATTAATGACGTGTTTAGATGTGAAACCGCCGATCCTTTAAAATTAGTATTCCGTATCACACTATCATTGTATCAAATGAGTAGTAACATATGTTTTCATTATCAGTGGATTTGTGTGAGATAACTTTTCGCCTTTGAGTCGGCCGTCCGTGATAGCCCGTTAAAGCCGAATTTGGTTCGATTGTAATTTTTTCGTTGTATTTTGCTATGGCTTTGACCGCGTCGGGATTGAAGATTGCTGCGGTGGGATTGACGCAGCGTGCATGTCGCCCAACGCTCTTGCAAGCGGCCAAATATTCGTGGGAACCGAAAGAAGTGGAAACTCACACTGGTCAGGTGAGTAGTCGCCCAGTAAATGGTCACAAATCACTGCCGCCGCTGACTTTTATCGATAATGATGTTAATGGTGTTATACGTCGTGTTGTAGAAATGGGAAAAGGATGATTATCGTTTGGCGCGTTTCATCGACAAGGAGAAGGAAGTGAACAAGTCGTTTGCCATTGATCTCATCAACCAARTACCACCTAAGCCGTGCACGGAGCGAGTTGTTTATTGCGATGGTGGCGGCGGACCACTGGGTCACCCTAAAGTCTACATAAATTTGGTACACAGTCAATTGTTATAAAGTTATAATATTGTGTTTATAATATAAAGTTATAATATGTTTGTTCACAAACTGATTGTTACAATTTAAGTTTCATAATGTCAAATATGACATTTTTACATTATGTGTAACACATTCCTCTCATTATGCTTCTWATTTGGTAATGTCAGGCTATTAACTTTATTAGTAATCCCAATTTTAAATAATTTGGAATATTAAAATTTTTCTTTTTTTGATTTTTTAAATCGTTCTTTTAAGGCTATGATTTTTTTTTTAAATAATGCATTAGATTATCAATGTTTATAATATTTAACTGTTTTAGGTTTCACATTGGTTTAAAACTATAACATTTTATAACTAATATAAATAAATTTGTTTTCAATCAATATTGCTCTAATAGGCTTTTAAGAGACACACTATCAATAAGAAAAAAATTTCATTTTTAATACATTAAATGATATTGTGTTCAACATAGGTGTGCGCAAGAATTTTGTATGTTTTTTGCTTGTATGACAAGAAATATAGATTATAATCAGGGAAACTTCTTGCTGTTTGCAAAATTAACAAAGTTGATTTCTGTAATTTTAATTTTTAATTTTAACTAATATCATCAAAAAATCCAAATAGACATTCTAACTTCTTAAAAAAATGAACTAATTAACCAACAAAAACAATAGTATTTAAAATATATATAAAATAATAAATTATAATTTGATATCCTCAAAGCTGTTGGGCTTTTATTTTTTATTTAATAATGAACACATTCATTATTTCAAATTATATTGACTTGTCAACAGTTAATTAATAACAAAGCATAATATATTATAATATTTAGAGTACAACATCTATATTTTAATATTATAATGTTAAAGTGTCTGATGTTTATTTTATATTGTCTTGTGATTTAATCTTTTGTTCTTTTATATTATTTAGGATAAACCAGGAAATCACGCTTGCGGATATTGTGGCTTGAAGTTTTTCAAAAAGGATAGTCATTAAAAATTATTATATTATTAAACCAAATTGTTTTGAAGATTATTTAGATGAACAGATATTGAATAATAACAAATTGTAAATTGGAATCTGTTTATATTAGAAATAAAATACATTTGTTAGAAAAGATCTAGTTTTGATTGAAATGTATTAATTTTTGTTTAGATAGAAAAGATATAAATCAATAATTAATATTAATAAATATTTGAAAAAAAACCACCATCCAATTTTGGTCAAGAAACCATTTTCATAAAAGATCGAAGAATTTTCAATTTAACAAAACGTGATTACAAGACACACATAAAGAAATACATTCATTGCTATGCTTAGAATCCAAAAATGTGATTTTTGTTGTTACTTTAACGTTGACACTATTCTTATTCAACTTAAAGTATAGAAATTAAATAAAATTTAGTATGTTTAGTTTAAATTTTTAAAACAAAAGAATTTCATATGTAATTAAGTTTATCCTTTTATTTTTTTACTCTTGGTATTTAAATTTCTACAAAAGTTCAAAATATGCATTAAATGAAAAAATAAAAATAGTTCTAAAGAAGTTTACAGTCAGGAATAACATTAAATTTGTTAGAACAAAATTATATGAAATACAACATAATATACAAAAATATTTCTGAAAACATACCTGATTAAAGAAAGATTCACAAAAATACTCTCAATTTTTTTTGTCCAATAAATTGGAACTACTAAACACTTAAATGCCTAAATTGAAATTGATAATAAAAATTAATAATCCTGTGTTTTAAATTAAACAAGGTGTTATTTAATTTGTGAAATAATTTCCAATAAATTATGATATGTAGTAGGTAATCTATAAATTCTAAATTATAGATATTTTATTTAATGTTTGATAGTATAGTTTAATATTATAGCTAATTATATGACTGGTATGCTGAATCAACTGCCATATCTCTTTTGTTAAAGAGTTAATATGCTGTATTTATAAATGTTGATGAATTATTAATTATTTTTAATATATTGAATATTTAAATATATAAGTTTATATTATACTACTATCTTTATACAGTATATATAATATACTGTATTTAAATAGACTAAATATTTTCATTCCATTGCTTTTAATTCCAGATGTAACTGGTCTATAAAACAGAAGTTATATCCTCCCAAAGTACCAACTTCAATTCATATTTTCATTTGTAGTCACGGAAATAGATGTGTACTATATTATTAATAGACATAAATTCATAAACAATTATTTCATTATTCAAATGGATTAAACATTATCATAATAATTACCTAAGTATATGAGACACCTTCTGAAAATATAATATTGTGGTGTATAAAATAACATGTGTGGGTTAAATTGACTACCTAAATAGAACCCCGTGTTAACATTGACCTTATTTTTGAAGCGCAATAATAGCAAGAAAAAATCCTAAAATATAGTAAATAAATAAAATTTTAGATTCAGAGTAGACTGATGAATGATGATGAATGGTGTTAAAAAACACACTCTTGGTTTTTGTTTCTGAAGACATTATAGGAAATAATTATAGAATATAGAAAACTTCTGTATAGCAGGTAGTAGAAAAAAGTTCCGATCTTCAACTTCGATGGTAGAATTCGGGAGATAAGTAAACGGACTAAACACTAAAAGAATGAGTTATTTGAATGTTTAAATGTATTCATTAGTGGCGGCGATCTGCATTATTGATCTGTTAAATTTAATAAGATCGTGTGTGAACTTATATGGCTATATGTAATGTGTAGCTCTACGATCATGTAAAAACAATACCATTGTAGCGAATAGGCTAATTTATTATATTTTTAATCGTTCAATATTATCGTTACCTATAAGGTTTTATTTGTAAAATTTTCATTTTTAATCATTTCATATAAATTATGAATTATTATTTTATGATAAATCGTTCGTGTATGTAATAATAACTATGATACCTATAGGTAATAACATCACTGCGTTTATCATAATATTATTTTTTTATGTAGGTATCCCGTTATATTAATTTATCTACCAACTATTATATTACCTACAACTTGGTACTATTAGTTGTTACGATTTACGACGAACATCATACGAATTATATTATAATAAATAAAATACATAATATTATTACGCCATATACATCCACACGGCGTATGATAATAGTCGGAGCGCGTTATTATAAAATATTTTTATTTTTGTAGGTAATCGACGGATTTATGTTACGCTACCGCTGCGATACGGTATCGTTGCAGGTGCTATTAAAATAACAAATGAAAAATAAAACCTCGTTAAAGTTAAGCTAATTGCAAAGAGTCGTGGAGGGATGGGGACACGGAGCTTTAACGGTTATACTATTTGAACACACTTATACAAATCTATGTAGGGTTAAATATTGTTATAGGTATAAAGCATGCTATATAACGCACACGACAATCTGCAGTACTTATATATACACAAAGAGTTCACATATGGCACATCGTGTCCGGACATCGGCATCACAATAGGATTAAATGATTAAAATGATAATGCGCTTGTTGCCATTAATATATTATAATATTATATGGTGTACAAGTGTAGTAATAATATTGTGCGAGTGAAACAGCGTTAGGTGTAATGTGCGCGTGTCCCGCTGTATTGAATTAAAAAATTTTAGCACGTGTTAGGGTATATTATATTATTGCAATGCATAGGCGTAATCTGGGAGGGGGCGATTGACCTATCAGATATTTAACTGACTGGGAAACTTACAGTGTTATTTTGGCTTACCTACATAGATTTTTAGTTTTACCACAGAATGCCAATCCCCCCCCAAAAAAAATTTACCACAGATTACGCCTATGTTGAAATGCTCGCAGTGGATACTTTCGTCTTCAGTGACAAATGTCTTAAGGAATTTATTTGGACATGAAATGTAATATTGTTTATCGTTGATATTGTTGTCACTTGTCACCGCCATTATAGGACACTCGCAGACTGGCGTTAAAAGGCACAGTCTGCGGTCTGATCAAAGGGCCCTTAGGTTATAATAAAAGTTATTAGCTTCGTATTCCACAATTTTCAATTTTTGTATTTTAAATGAGATGACAATGAAATAATAATAATAAATCATAATTTATTGTTTCTTGTATAAATTTGTCGATGTTCACAAATGTATTTATTTTGATTTGAAGCAACCGATACATCTTGTTCACAAATTTGAAATTGTATCTGTGTGAAACCGTTTTTTCTTCTAATGACTAAAATAACAAATATAAATATATGGTGACTGATTTATCTAAGAAATAATATTCATTAATTTTATAGATCTAAAATCAATAAGAAGCCCTTAAAAATGTTAAGATGAATGATTAAATACAGTTGTTATATTAAATGATTATCTTATTTAATTTTAAAATGTGAATATGAAGTCCGGTGGACCAAATCAGCCAGAAGCCTATAGTCTTTCCATGGTCACCGCGGATTTTGTAACAAACTTCGAAGGGGTTTTGATATTCGCTCGTACGGAAGCGTATAATAAGTACGTATTGACATTGAGAATGATTTTAATCTTATTAGTTAACTCGAATTTTGAGTTTTCGATTCCCCAAATATTATATTATCATAAATTATGCGTATCACTTACCTGAACGATTTTGATGAGAGCTGTACCCCCTCCCTCCAAGTCATTAGCATTGATTCGACAAGTGTTTTGACACCAGTTGCATCCACATGAAGTGTATAATATCTAATAAATACGGAGCCGCCACAGCCAGGAATTTTGAATAGGTATCAGTGTATTTGTGTATTGCTAATATTTCGCCGAATCCTTTAAAGTTGAGAAGTTGCAAATTTTAATTATGGCAGTTTGTTGTCATTGAGAAATCATAATTAATATTTTATACCTATTGTACTTAAACGAATATTACTCCTTAATGGATTGCAAAATAATTTATTACCTATAAATAACAATATCATTACCTAATCAAAATAAACATTTTTTTCTAACATACTTACTATTTAAATTCAGTAAATTACAATTTAAAGTACTACTATGACACATTGATATATGTAACAGGAACAAATTAGAATTTCAAAGAAAAATCCAAGCTGGATGTTCAGGTTGGATTAAATTTGAAAAATTTGAAATAGATACATGGGTTTCATACATATAGATACATGGTTTTGAAATTTTGTTTGAAATTCACTAAAAGATAATCAGTTTTGGGAAGACACATGCGGCACTGTAACTGGAGATGTTAACCAGGCACCGAAATTTACCGAAATTGAGTTTGAGTGTTTTTGAAGTAAATTAATTATATTAAACACTAATAAACAGTTCATGACAGGTAAACTATACAATTCTTGTTAATTATTTTTTCAAATAAGTTTATGGACATGCAATGCTGAAAACCATTGCTCTACTGAAAAATTTGTCGCTAATGTACATAGAAAAAATATCAGTGCTCTAGATTTTTTTTTTTTTAGAAATAGTTTCTTTGCTTAAATTTTATGAAAAAATTGAATTCGACACTTAGATATCTATATGAGTGGCTACAAACAATGTATCCAAAATAACAAAAAAAAATAAACTTTACCTGCAATATTCATTGCTCGCAATTGTAATATTATTTCATTATTTGTTTCGTCAAATTGACATTTTCATTCAAAATTGCTACTCTTTTAATGTTCTCATTTATTTTGGATTAGTTACGTCGTACGTAAGTTTAACTAAATAGCTAAACCAACAAGTCAAACTGATAGTTAAATAGTTAATATTAGGTATAACTGTTAGGTAGGTTTGTTCATAACTAATATAACTATTATATATATATATAATATAGATTCGTGTATTATATTTTTCAATCGAGTTGGTATAATAGGTGTATCCTCATTATATAATAACACATCATATAATATATTTATTTGTCATAATTATTTCATGCATCTATATAATATATAATATATACCATTCGTACACGAATCGTCTTTTGGTGCCTTATGCGGTTATGCCTATATTTAATTTAAACGCATTGTTAGGTGCAGTTTTAGACTTATGGACTATGGTGTATACCTAACCTATACGGCTATACCTATAGGCTATATATAGCGTAGTTATACAATAATGCTAAATAAATATGTATAGGCACCTAACTAGTAGCGGTGTT